GCCCTTTGGTTCCACAAGCACTGCAATCTTCAGACTTGAACCGGCACTTGTCTTCGACATGGTTTGTATTCCCGCAACGGAAACATTGTCTAGCAGACCTGTGCAGATCTCTCACCTGGCTGACTGCGATGTGTGATTCTACGACACTTTTCAATTGACGGGACTCTTCTTCCGGTCGAAGAAAGCTTTCCGACAATCTGAGTGCAATGTCGATCGATAACTCTTTCTCTTGGACGAGACGTGCCCTCAAGCGTTGATCTCGAAGTCCTATTGCGAAAGCAGTGAGCAACGAACATGCCCGAGCATCGACCTCGTTCTCATACTCGCAGTTGCAAATGACTGATCTTAGTCGTGCTAGGAATTCGGTTGGTGTCTCACGTTCATCCTGGTGTGCTGAAAACAACTTCGCTCGTTCAAATTCCTTGAAACGCTTCGGCGAAAAATGAGTGTCCAGTGTTTTTGTCATTTCCGCAAACGAAACTTCACTGACCTGCCTCGGCTGAACCAGAGAGTGCAGCAGCTTGAACGTCTCGGACCCCAGAGATGCAATCAGAAAGTTCCTTTTTGTGGCATCATCTATTTTTCCGGCGATGTCCAGAGATGCTTGGGACCTTATTTTGTATAAGTTCCAGTCCTCTTTTTTCCAGGTCGAATGGTTCTGGTCGCATGAACCGGAAGACGTTCGATGTTGCTCGCTGCGATGTCTCGCCCGATGCATTCATCATCTTGAGCCGTTCTCCAGGAATTCTCCAGGAATCCTCGTCGCCAATCTGTAGCGGAGTGAACACGCACCCGTATGGCAGGATAAATGCACTTTACTTTGGGCCCGAGAACTGCACTGCGAAGACCGTTCTTCATACGCGCCAGGATCCGAATCCCTCGATTCACGTGAGCCCAGCACGTTCCTATATCTCGAGTCTTTTTCGTCTTCTACGCTACTACATGACAACCATCCGCAGAAAGAGAGCACTTTGATGATATTTTGTCACGTCCATCTTTCCAACGTGCATACTGGTTCAATGGGACAGCCTTCGCCTTTGCCAAATAGTCGTGAAAAGGAGTAGAGTAGCTACTACGCTAACTACCCGAGACCATTCTACTTTGGACATGTATTCGACAAGAGTGTTATGCCAGCAATCACTGTGAACTCGGCTGAGAGCGTATTGAACTCGAATGCTGCATTAGCGTTCGACGTGAACTGGGATACACTCATATGCTTTCCGCCTAAAAAATATAGTGACAGTCAATGTCACATGATAGGGCTTTGTAAAGGGTATATGACATGTGTATATAAAATGTTCTGCTATATAATAATGCCAATATTCAGAATCATCACATACTATAAAACTAGGTACTCAGATGTGTTAATTTTTGTAATTAACAAGTTACACAAAGAATCGTTTCTTAGGGGTGTAATATTTGTTTCCAGAAGCTGGGCCTGTTCTATTCTCGTGAATGTCAGTGTGCTAAGATGTTATTGTTATGTGAGTAAATTTTCAATATCGTCTCCACAATCCTTCGAAGGCCCTTGGAGGGAATAGGTGAATAAATAACATTTTCACATCACTGGAGTTTGTTTTTGGGATACACCATATGTTCATTAGAGGTCGAAAGAGTGCAGCCCCCCTGCAATAAGTCTACCGGCACCGCCAGCCTCATTTGTCCCTTTTATTCATAGGGGGGGGGGGTCGAAGATTTGAGTGTCCTCGAGAGCGCCACTGCTTCATTGAACACCACTCTTCGAGGTGTTGACTTTGAAAGAGCAAAGGCTGTAGTGTGAATATGATGAGCTCTTGGTTAGAATATCAAATATGTTTATTTTCACCTGATTGTATGGTTATTCATTCTTATCAAACGGTTTCATGACAAGTTCATTTTGCAACAGTCTTGTACCAGGCGTTCAATCACAGTTCCTGTCATCCGTGTTGTAGGATGACGCTCCAGCTCCTGGCACGTGGGTGTTCAGTTTGGTCGAGTGTCATTGGCGACTGACCCCCTGGTCTTGCTGGCAACTACCTGCCGGCTTGTGATCCTACGTCATGCGCGGCCACTAACATTCGATGTGCTGAAGCTACGGGACTGGCTTGGATGTCCACGTTATAAAAAATATAGCTGTCCACAAAACACTGCACCATGTAATCCGCAAATGTTGCTGGTAGTCTTCTATGCCAGTGCCGCAAGCTAGGTCGGGCATGCGTTGCTTACGTGGCTTTTCCATGTTATCTACCGCTGAGTTTATGGATGGTGACAATATCTGTTTGCTAGCTAAGCCACTTCACTTCTATTCCGCAAAGGCGATTTCGTCTGCATGCCGCGACCACTGCAAATGGTGTAAGTCTCGCGTAGCAACCTGAACTCGGGTAATGCTTTGTGTATAGTTTTTGAAAACGACCAACCACTCTATTTCTTCTAGCCACTCAACTGCCTTCTCTCTTAAAGTTAGAAATCGTATACAAAGTGTCCCTCGTTAAGTAGACAGAGATAATCGGTGTCGCCAAATTATTATTGGCTTTGGAAGACATCCGACACCAAATCAGCTATCACTGCATTGTTGCTCACCTGCGTTGTCATGCTTAGTCTAGAAATATGTATCGTGGTTTGCTCTTGTCAAGAAAATGAGCACCTCGAGGGGATGGGGATCGGGAGCTTCGAGGTGGTGTCGACACCGGGGACCGAGGCCTCCGAAGATACTCCTAAATGCTTTGTGGTCGCTCCCGGAGACATGCTCGAGGGCCGTTCGGCACGAACCTTCGCAGGCCCATTAGTCGGTACGGACACCTCTGGTACGTGGTCGGCCTCACCGCAGTGGTAGTAGACCTGTCTTCGGTAGGCCGTTCGCCACACTTCCGTTTACCTTGGTGTACGTTGTTCAACAAAAACATACACTGGTTCTTTATGACGTCAGGAATGCTGCGGCATTAGGGTCTCCCGTCGAGTTTGCGTCGAGTACAAACGGGCAGCCTGTGGCGGTTGTATTGCCATTGCGAGGTGTCACCCTCGGTTCACTCGATGCCGCCTTACAGAAAGAAGTCTCCAGTTAAAATTACCATTGGACTTTTTCGCGAACAACTTCGGCAATTGAAATGGAAGCTGAGCGACTGGCGGCAGGAAGTATTTTTCTGAGCTCCTCCCAGACATCGTAATCGCTGATGTCATAATGCTTGGCAGACTGGCGTTGAAGTTACAGCTGAACGACTGCAGTGTGGAGAGTGGAGACGAAGGAGTGTCGTTGATGGTGCGCAGCTCAGGCCTGCAGGGCACATACGATGCTGTAAGCCTCGGTGATTAACCATTCGAATGCTGTCTGAGTGAACGGGACAAGGCCACCGAAATCTGTTGTCCCTCCCGCCCCGCATGAGGATTCTCAGCTTTTTCTCTTCTGTAGCCTGAGAATTCGCGCGGTCGCTGAGCAGCAACACATTAACCACAAATCTGGTGACACTGCTTAGGGCTCTGCGTCCTGGAGCGAAGTAGGTCTGCGGCTCACTTTCCTTGATGTTGGTTGAAAAGGGTGCGCTTCAGGTTCGGCCTTGAAACAGTCCACGATGTCAAGGAGGATTCGAGGTTCTCAAACCAGTGCATGGCATTTTTTTCCAGCTAGGAGTACACGTTCCACAGGCGCTGGTTGTCTTTCCACCCGTTGTGATGGGCGAAATGATCGTATTGTTCAATCCATGCAGACCTCAACGTCTTAGCCCTCGCCGTGGAAGGGCATCGGGTGCGAGGTGCGAAGGGCATGCAAAAGCGGTGGGAGCTGCCGTGGCCTGCTCCGACAAGTTGGCCATCGTTAGCTTAGTCCACTTCGGTTTTTCCTGCAGGAAACCAAATTCCGCTGCTTCTTTCTGGTTGCAGTGACTGGTTCGGGGTTTAGCTTCTTCGCGGTCTACTCATTGCGCTCACTTTTCTTCTGGGACTCGCTCGTCTTGCGAGTTTTCTGCCGGGCTCGGGATCGAACTTGGTTCACGACTCCTTAGTTTGTGCGAAGAAAAGGCACCAGGTAAAGTACCCAGCACCTCCACTGGAACCGACATAGGCAGCCGAGTCTGGCCTGGTACTTTCCAGATAAGCAAAAACTGATAAAGGTAGGGACTGGACAAAACATCCGGGACAATATAGCAAAACTTACTGGGGAGCGTTTATCTTGAACAGAAAGAAAGTGGATTCTTTAATGGCAAGCTTCCCAAATGAGCCCTCTCCTTCGGTGTCTTGAGGACTGCCATTGGCGGACCGAACAAAAACGGATGTGGGACCCCTTTTCTGGCATTGAACTGCCACGACTGTACTTCGTGAAAGCTCAAGTCTACGCCAGAGCTATTTAGAAAGCAGCACAAAATCATCAGGCACGCCACGGAAACTACCAGCTTGAAGCAGTTCTTCGGTGCGCTGTACAACCGAAGTGAGCTACCTGCCATTTGAACGAAGCGGTATAACGACTTAAATTTACGTAACTCAACTGTGTAATCAAACTTATCGCAGACGCCTCACTCCACACTTCGAAAATTTCGATGGTCAACGAGAGCGCAAAACCGCTCGTTAAAATTTATTCTAGCGATAGCGATATCAATCTGAGATTCAAGCAATGCAGGACCGATTCTGTCTCTTTTTTCTCAATGTCCCCGCCGATAGCCAGCGAAATGCGCAGCGTTCCTGCGTGTCTTCAGTTAATACCTACGCGAGAGATTACGCTGAACTTTGAAGTCGTTTTCGACTGGCTTCAGGTCACGTCTCACTCATCTGAAATCAAACTCATTGGGACCAACAACACCGAACAACGTATCCAATGAGGTGCGGCCCAGCTGGGGCAAGCACAGCCTGGGCGCTGCCCTCTAGCCGGTGAAGTCTTGTTTGTGTTTGCGTCACATTTGCATACTATGATGACGGCCAAAGGGAGGGTTCCGGTCCGCACACTTTTGTGCGCGGACCAGGACCTAGGTTTATCGCTGTAAGCCCCTCTAACTAGTTTTCCTAACCTATCTACGTCTTTCTTAAAAATACATTACCTCAAAAAGTAGGTCTGCTTTTCCCTTGTAGGCAGCGTCGCCTCCTCCAGCCGGGGAAGACATTTGAGTGGACAGAATTGTACAGACCACGACATATGCAAAGTCCCGCTGCATCTCCACTCAAGTTGTAATCTTGATCTTTCCTGGAATCTTACTCGCTCTTTTATTTCATAAAACTGTGACACGAGAGCGCTGTGCAAAAAACCGTCTTTGAATTGTGCCACGCAGCTGTTGATGTAAATGTGAGATAAAAGCCACATGAAAGCGCACAAGCGTCTGCGTACCATTTAAAGGGCATGCATAAACATTATGGTTCTCCAGAAGCAGGTTTGTGCTTAGAAATATCGATGCAGTAAATTGAGTGTTTAAAACATCTTGGATTCGCAAAACCGGTGGCGCGTCTTGAATGAGGTCTGGATAATAGATGTGTCACAGAATTTCATAAGCAGTGCTAGTGAACATGCCACCTAGGTATTATCTGGGTAAAAGAAATTACAAAATACAACCTTGAGCGAAAATTAAGCGCACTTCTTTGGGCATCTAGTAAGGTGACTATAAATATTGAGAAAATTGATTTTTGCGAATCGAATTTCTGCAGAGTTTTTAGTATAGTTCGCTTAGTTTCAAAGCATATCTTATTTAGCAGCATTCCTGAAAGGCAGATAATAGAATATAATATTTCTTTAATGCGTTACAATGATATATACAAAATAGTCGTAGACTGCAATAAAAACATGATTTTATGAAGTGTCTTATTTGTAAAATGGGACGATTTCGACTTCACAAAAAAAAAGCGCAAAAACTTTTTAGTTTGTTGTCCGTTTAAAAAAGGGCTCAGAATCTTTGCATGGATGTGAGGTTTGTAGCACTGCTTATTTTGTTACCTATGTTTTGTTGGTACAAGTTGTGCATTCTATTAAAATAAATTCAGCGTATTGTTGCTTAAACTAAAATTGCTGAACATATGCCACTTAGGTATTATCAGCTCTAAACAAATAGCAATATAAAAGCTTATATTTAAAAAAATAGCCTGCTTTCTTGTGAACCAAGAAAGTTTGCTAAATTTTTACGAAGCCAACATTGGCGAATTAAACTTTTGCGGAGTTTTCAGTCCACGTTGGCTCCAATTTGCCCTATCGCAACTAGGATTATATGTCAAGTGTGAAATGTGTCAGTGATTTTTTTATAAAGAACTAACAGGGGAAAGTATGGAGACAAACAATAGAAGGGCGGCGATAAAATGTCATAAGCCACAGAATTTTTTTTCTTTACGTGTTTTCAGACTTGTTTTCCGTCTGCGTTGCTCTACTTCCGTTACGCATTTTCAAAGCGATTTTGATCCTAAAAAGATTGTTCCTGAGCCTTTTTTTAACTAGCCGACCAAACTACATTTTCAAAATTTCCAGAATTTACTCCTGCTGGTATATTATTTATTATCTCAAAATTTAAACTAGTCAATAAGAAAACAGCAAATGAAGGCGGTGTCAAAACCAACATTGAAATTTTACCTAGCTTTAATGTACACCCTAAGAAAAAAAAGTAGTGCATTTGACTACATTGGGCTAGAAAAATGTTGCCACCAAGTGTAACGACCCGGTAAAAATGACGACCCCATTCGTAGTCAAAAATGTCTGTAGTCAAAAATGACTACCAACTAAAACAACTTTGCGGCCAGTTAGTGACGCTTGATTTCACCGGTAAGGCCTAGCGAACAACACGGCTTTTCGGCCCAGTGAGAGTATAGAGCGCATATGCCTATACTACGTCTCTCAAGCGCCACCATTTACACTAAACATCCGTCCCCAACACCGGTACCGTACCCATATCTTGTAAGGACGGCAGTGTGTGTGCCGGGATCGCCACGATTGTCTCTGAAGGCATCTCGCTAGATTTACTGTAGTTGAAACGCCGGCGGAGAACGCGAAAAAAAGAAATCGTTACACAAGGAATGGACATGGTGACTTTATTGAGCACAACGTATGCTTGCCATGTGCGGCGGCGAATCGCTGGGCACCTTCGTCGACACCAACAGAGACGTTCAGCTCGCAACCAACGCTACCGCTATTTTGTTTTTCTTCGACCACTTTTTTTTGTATGTTCGCCTGTACCGAAGTGGTTATGGCAGTAAGATCTAATCTCAATATTTAACGGGTGCCGCACATGGCTAATGGCACTAAACATCACCAAGTGAAAGTCAATGCGTGCGTACCGTCGTAATGCCGTTTGTCCTACTTACTACCTTAATAGCGCTCCGCTGGAGCCCGTGCACTGCTATAAATACCTTGGCGTCCACATTACATCTGATCCTTCATGGAATATTCATATTGAACATGTTATTAAAAATGCTAACCACATGCTAGGCTTTTTAAGAAGGAAGTTTAGTTCTGTGCCGTTAGATCGAAGCTGGAATACGAAGCCTCCGTTCGGGACCCCGGCATGGAATACCTCGTTCAATCATTGGAGGACGTCAAGAACAAATCCGCACGTTTCGTACTTTCCAACTACCACTGTACTTCTTGTGTAACCTCCATAAAACTATGGTTATCATTACCCACTCTTGCTTTACGTAGACAATATCCTCGTCTGTCCCTTTTTCACAAAATTTATCATAATCAGGCCATGCGTCACAATCTACTAACCCCTCCATATTATATTTCCCGTCGTTTAGACCATAAGAATAAAGTGGGCGTCTTTCTATGAAGACACTAGTGCATTTTTTATTCATTCATTCCGCGCACTTCTGTAGAATGGAACCACCTTCCTCATGATATTGCCACCATTGATGGCCTATGCATTTTTAAAGGTGCTTTATCTAACTTTTTATTTTTTTGATATATGACTCCGCTTATTTCGCCTGTTGTTATGACTCCGTATTTCCCACTCCCATCTGCAATGTCTTCGGACCTTGAGTATAAATAAATAAATAAATTCGTTCGCGCGTGTGCCTCCGCTTCGCAGCTCCTGGAAACCGAACGAGCATCTAGGTGGCTTGGTGGCACAATTATTACGATTGCTATCGAACTGACAGGTAGAGAGGCCAGTAGGCCAGCTGTTTGTAAATCAGAAGGCACATAACTGCTCAACGGTAAGTTTCTTAAATACATACACAACACGAACACCAACCAACATACCGAGCACTGGTAAGGGCAAATGCATGTTAGCAGTACAACAGCGCACAAACTACTCCAACACAACCAGCCTCATCACTCTCATTATAATGCTTACAATATCACCACCGTACTCACCCGATTCGTATACATGGTATTTAACATTACTAGAACACTCACTTGGAAAACTCACTTCCGACACCACGACCACTTGCGTCCACCGAGACCAAACTCAATACGATAACTGCGCCGCCCTTTGGCGACGAGTCGAAAAATAAAAGTTTGCTTTACATCACTACTGCGAAATTACACTGCCAGATGGCGCCACTGGCTCTTGGGCGACTCCACCTGAACTAATAATTTCCTTGACGTGAACCAATACGTGCAGCCGTGCTATTCACGCTGTTGCGGCTGCGGGAGAAATGGGGGCGTTGCGATCGCCTTTAGTAAGGTTCTTGGGGGGGGGGGGGGGGTTTAATAGAAAACAAAAGATTAAGTCAAAGATCGAAAGCGATTCTTAATCGCCTATTGGCCAGTTCTAAACCTGCCTTGTAGCAACTGAATTCACCCTAAATGTTTTATCTTATATCTGGATTACTGGAATTTGCGAGAAACACGAATACATATTCCAGCTGTTGAAAGATATGATTTTGAAATTGTTAGAAATTCAACTGGTATTATCAAAGCTCACAACGAAGTAGAACGCTTGTGCAATAAAAACACACAAAGACTGTAATTAGAGACGATTTTGTTTGTTCAAGAATGGTGGAGCTAGAACAGATTGATGCTCAGTTTAAAAAAAGGGCCAAGTGTATAATATTTTATTTAGATAAAAGGAATATTAAATATGACGACAAATAAATGTCGATAGTTTTTCATAATTAGCAAATAAATGCAGTCAAATATCTGATAGTAATAATCTACAACGAGTTACACTGGCAGCAATATATTGACAACCACTTAAAATGGGAACGGCACTCCAGGTGCTTTTGCCCAATTTTCTACAGACTTATTTGTCTGAAAATGAAAAGAGTACACATGAAAAATACAAAACAAAACTTACTCCTGTCAAAAAGGATTCGTGCCATGACATTGAGAATGACGTTTCACTAGAATCAACGTCACAACGGAGACCGTTTTTTTAAAGTCTGATTCACCAAATTCTCTTCATAAATTCTAGAACGCAGCGATTGGCTCCTCCATTGCTAGAAAAGTAGATGCTCCAGAGGGCTCAGGTTGTATGTTCTGCATAGACATTTCAGGTCCTCACAGGAAAAAGATATATGAAATGTTAATACAAAATTTGTTGTGTCGGATTTAAATCAGTTTCAATTATTTTTTCGGCACACTTTGACATTGAGTATAAACAGGTAGCAGTTGACATATTTATGTGATTGTTGAATATTAACTTTAACACTCATTTTGTTTTAAAATCTAACGTTTTGTTCAGAAATGTTCTACCTAAACTGGGCATGAGGGAAATAAATATATATTGCTTGATTTAAACATCATATTATTAAAATAGACAAAACTAAAGGCAGCTCAGTCATTTTTGAAAAGAAAAGAAGAAAAAGAACAAAGACAACGGACGAAGGGGACAAACACAAAACGTCTGTAATGACGGGTCTTGTGTTTGTCCCCTTCCTCCGTCGTCTTGCTTTTTTGTGTTTTTTTAATGTGTAACATGAAAGACATGATTTTGTCTCGACCGTTTACTTAGTTTTTTTTTACATCAGACATTGTCGCAATTTCAAAACTTAATTAGGACACAACATAACCAACTACTTGTCACACGAAAATGAAGAGACAGGAAAAAATACCCAACGTTTATGACGAACGTTTTTTGTCGGATAAAGGAAGTGATCGTCATGCAGTAGTCAAGTAGTTTTTCCGAATCAGAAATTGCTTATTTTCAATAGTCTTTACTTTTATAGTATAGCATAGAGTTTTACATTTGTGCTTCTTTCTCTTAAATAAATCAATCCGCCAGCGCCTTCCATTCCCAAATGCTTTAGAGCTTAATCGAAT